CCAGCAACTGCTGGCAATGTGGATGCGCCACAAACTGTAGAAAAGAATTTAACTGTACAAACTGTTTTCTTATAACTTTGTCTCTAGTATCTAATATCTATCTGATGATCTTGAATAAGTATTTGTTCTGTCTGAATCCAACTGGTTGTGTACGATCATAAGGAGGACTTTCATTAAACAAGAACACAAAATACCTTTTTAGTCCTTTTTTCTGATAATTTAGCAGCCACTTGTTTACTAGGTAATTTAATCACTCAGTTGTTCGTTAGTCCATTTATTCCTTTACAAATTTCATTCATGCCTTCACTAGCCTATTAATTCAATTTTTAAGAAAAGAATGTGCAAGTGAAGCCACTTGAGATGTTAACCTAAGTGCGAATTCGAATTAATTAAGCCTCTTGTTTAAGCCTGTTCATGCCTTTTACTATTTCCTGCATCGAACTTTAAATTACTACTGTAACACTTTGTTTGGTGGCATGTTTAACCCAGTGATTTGAGTATGCTGCCACTTAAGACTCTAACATTATACTTCTGCTCGTCGGCATGGACTCTGGGCCATGCCAGTAGCCGCTCATTCCGTCTGTACATCAGTAGTGTGTTTGCTGCCCTAGTGCTATGCTATTTTTGACTTTAAAAAGGACTCGGAGAGCTGTATTGTTGGCAGCGGCGAGCAAATCCTATCCATAAGCACAACAACCCTAATTTGCATTACTGAATGCTAAACAACAACGTAACGGAAGGGGGGCGTCTACCTTCAGCAACTACCCCAGTCCCGTGTTCTGAAGAGCCGACATTAATAACTTAAGCAACACTTACCGATTCCGTAAATCATCTGGAGAAGTCTGTTACGGAACTCTCTACGGTACCTGCACAAGGATGACAATCAAGTGAACACACGATACCTTCTCCTCCTCTGTACTAGCTGGATAGAACCCAAATAGATATTTACAGAGCTGAGCAGCACTGAAGTGAGAACAAGGTGTTAAGGAGGAGTAGACGAGATTTCATATCTCCACAGAACTATTCCAAACCCCATTCCTCACTAAATGACTCCTTTTGTGGGCCAGTGTTATCACAACCACCAATGGACAGACGAGATGACCTGCACATTCTCTCTTCCATCAATACAGCTCCCAAACAGGATAAAACTGCAGATCCAGTAGAAATGCCAGAGTGGATCAGCGACGCTGCAGTCAGTCATGCTCTCAATTGCACCAAAATTAGGTGACTGGTGCAGTTGATTAGTGGGAGTTTTTCTTACCCTACTGGCAACATTGTGATGGCCGGCCGACGTTAAAGGTTGACTTGGAGGAGCGCCAGGGGCGATGTTTAAAAGGAGAGGGAGGGCTATGTAATACTTTGGTCACCTGTTTCACTCTTCGCTTTTGTTTCAACAGGCTCTTAAAACTCCACCTTTGTACTTCCGTTGGGCGACATGTTCTCTGGGCCATGTCGGCAGACCCCTCAGCTCGTCTGTACGTCTGGAATACATGTGCTCCACTAGTACTGTGGCATGTTTCAACTTCAATAAAGGCTCAGGAGGCTGCAGTAATAACTGAATTGAAAATTCCAAAACACATTCAGGAGGATTAATTGGTAAAACTAAAAATGCAAAGCAATGTGGTTTCTTGTGCGTCTGAAAAAAGACTGTTTGACAGCCAAGTACAGGTTATCATCATTCAAACAAGTATGCATTCCTGTTTTGGACTTGATAACATCAAACATGGTAAATTATTCCACCATATAACTCAAAAGCGCACATAATTACCCATTCATGAAAAAGTCACACATACGGCATTCACGTTTAGCTAGCATGTCCACCCAAAGAAACCTTGATGACTGAATTGCCTCGGAACTCTACATCAACCATATCCCATTGTCCTCTACTCACTGAGCTATATTATCTCAAAAATCTCCTCTTTTTGCCCTAATTTGGTTGACTTTACGCAACTACGACAAACACAGACTCGCAGACAAGTGGGTTTGGTGGTTTGATATGATGCAGGTCTTAAAGACGGTCAGTAGTAACCTAGACCACTCACCTGTTTCTGCTTGTATTTTATGGCAAGTCGTAGTCGCGAGAGTTGCATTGTCTGTCCGGTGGAGTCACTGCGAACGCCATAGAACATGGTATCCTCGTTTTTACCACCTCCGGAATCGTAATTGAGGACAATGGCTAGCTCTGTAGAGCCTCGTGTTTGAGCCAGTAGTGCGGTGGCAAAAGCCTCACAATTTTGAGATAGTTTTTCATAGTCATCCTGAAATGGGGAAAGGTGAGGCTTTAGTGGAAACTGGGAGCATTTGGTGAATAACTTAAGCCATATTAAGTCTCCTCAGTGGATCAAAATAGGCGAATGTCTACTGAGACAGCAGACAATGTCAGTCTCTAAGATAAACCGCAAATCTTGAAAGAAATTTCACATTCAATATTACATCACTGGTATTTAACATGCAGAAACTGGAACTGGATAATCATTCGACTTTGCACTGGGTGACATCGGACAGATTTCTAAAGCTATGCGGTACGCTTCTCTCCCCTATTCCAGACTTCTCAACAGCCCAACACAGAGGGAATTGAGTGAAGACGACAAGAAGTCAAACTTGAGTGTGAACCGATATGACAAGTCTAACCTTAAACTCGTTCTCCAGACGACCCAGTCGCCTAGTCTCCCAGCTGAGTTCAAAGGCAGTAAGAATGGGATCAGTGCTGGACAAAGCAATGAAGCAGGGGCTCGACAGAGCCCGATAAGCGTTAATACGCAATTTTGAGTGCTGCAGACTGTCCTCCCTGCTGGCTTGCACGCAGGCGTTGCAGGCACATCGCAGCTCGTGAGGCTTGGTTATCTTGTTGCCTCGGTCAATGAGGATCTTGATAATCGCGTAGTTGTCGCGATGAGCTGCCAATATCAGAGGTGTGATATCAGGGGTGAAGATTGACGACTCTATGTGACCCAGAAGTCCCTGTTTAAGAAGGAAAAGAAGATAGATGAAAGATGTGGAATTATTTCGAGTCTGTGCGCATTCTGTAGGCAATGCTGAAAGCACGAGGTGGTATGCGCTAGGGACAGTGTTTGGAGCATGTCAATCAGTTTCCGCGAAAAATGGGACGATTTTTAAACTGCGTAAACGTTCCTCAGCGTTTTCAGAGAAAAAGAGACTCAGTTGACAGTGAAGGACTTTGTGGACTAAAATAGTAGTCTCTTAGAGCGTATGTGCATTTAGCAAACACGAATGGAAAATTGGGTGCCCATAAAATCTAACCTTTTGTGAGGCATTGGGCTGTCAATAAAAAAAGAAATTTAAATGAAGGATGATTTAGACCTACCGAAACAGCCCATTACATACCTTCAGGTTCTTTCGGTGTTGGCGCTCACTCTGAGCCTGTAGGATGAGTTCCACGGCTTGAACATTCTCTTCAGAAATCGCATGAAGTAGACAATCCTTTAAGTCAATCACCTCATAAGTGAGCAACATCTGTAGTAGCTCAATTTGTTCCGCCTCGATAGCGATTCTTATGGCTCCTCTGCCCATATCATCAGTGCAGTTGACATTGATATTATATTGTTTTGCATTGTCAATCAGACGTCGAGCTGTGTTTACATCCCCGTACTCAGCAGAACGCAGATAGAGCTTCTCGAAGCGGTTCAGCCCTCTCGCCACGTAGGGAATCTCCAACCCACCCAGATTAAGGAACTGTGGCCCCTCTAAGGGGTCATCCCGATCCTTCGCGGGCAAATCATCACTGTCCCTACGGGAAATACTGCTACGGAAAGCATTGGTCACAGTAACACCTTTAAGAACGGTGTCGGCGGCTCGTTTCATGATGTTGCGTTCTCGGTTCCAACTATTGTTAATCTGGCTACGTGTATCCACTAGACTGCAAGTGGTATTATGCTAATGGCAAAGAGATTTTTCCTCTCTCGCCCCCACTTTGCCCAGAAAAAAGCAATCTGCACTCTCCATCTATCTATCCGATGCTGAGACCTAATGTGTGCCCCATACACAGCAAAACCTGGCCAATGAAGAGCTGAATCTGTCGCTTGGATATCTGTAAACATACGTAATATCTTGTTTTTCCAATGTAACAGCAATTGGAAAATGCATGTTTTACAAACCTGCCATTCAGCCTCCCCTCATGGTCCAAAAGGGCTTCACCTGATGAGAGTTGGCATCAGCGTGTATGCGGTTTGAACTGGTGTTTAATTTTACGCAATTTATTTGACAGAACTCATGCTTTTTTCACAGTACTTTGTGTTATTGGACCCCCACCTCGGGGTTATGACATAAAGCTTCACAAGCACCCACCACTATTTGTGGGAGCAGGTGTTTTGGCATTCTACTTAGTTGACTTTTAACTGATGGAAGAATTCATTTTAAAGCCTAAATCCCCGAACTTTCAAATAATGAATAGTGACATGTCTATTGAGAGAACTCAGTTTTTACAAGAATTTCATACTAAACACAAAACCTGATCCAAGAAGCGATGTCTCCAGCCAGCCGGTTAAAAATAAATTCGGTTCAATGACCTTGAATACTTTCTATTCTGATGGTAAAATTAATCGGTACGTACTGGTGGTAGAAGCCTTATTGATTCACTTGAACACATTTGTGAACAACTCGAATTTTTCCTGTGTGCGCTACATACTTTATTTTTGGAATTATTTTATGGGAGCTGTTATCATCAAATCACGTCCGGAACTGTTTGGTTGAGTTGGAAATACAATAAGGGGAATAAGTTTGCCATGAATTGAGCATAATAATATTTTTAATTTATAAGCAGCACCCGTAATCTAATCGTTCAGGTTGATTTGCCAGAAGTTGAGGTCACTTGAGAACAATTTGACCTCTGGGATGTCATGGTCAATATTCCTCAGCAACCTTGGCGATGAGGGTGTCAGATTGATCCATTAATAACGAGGCTACGAAATCACTGGACCCCTATTTAACAGCATAGAATCGCTTTGATCGTAGCTACTAGGGGTCTATAATCTACAAATAAGATTTAATGATCAGAGTCATCAATCAACTGTTTCGAAACACATTCTGGGGATCATAATGAAGTAATGTGGTCTTTTACATCTCGGATTTGATAAAGGTCTACTTTATGTCTTGGTCATTGCACCTTTGTTGGACAAACTGACCTCTGGGCCATGTCAGTAGCCCCAGGCCCTTCCAATTGCTGAATATATATGTTCTGCCAGACCATCGTGTCTTCTTTCGTCTTTAGGGAAGTCTCGAGGTGCTCCAATAAACAGATTGATCGTATTAATTTGGCATCTCAGAATAGACGATATTTGTAAGTATCTACTTCACATCACCTATGAATCAATCGCCGAGAACAGAATTTAGAATACTTGGAGATTTTGCATGGGAATGTAAAATGTATGCGGCTGCTGAAATATACCTCATACTTTGAAATCAGCTTATTGTTTTAGGGTCTTTAATTGCTGAGGTTAAGTTTAATTTCATGCTTTATAAAAACATCTCCAAAATCACCATAGTGATATTGAAGCAATATGATTTTCTGAAATAAAAACGCAATTGCATATATGATCTTACGAAAAGAATTGGTTTGGTCTTCATTTGTCTACTACTTTTGACAGGTTAAAAGTTGCCTCACAAACCTTCCTCCACCAGTAAATAAATGAAATCCAATTCTTAGGAGAGAAAATGATCGATGCCGCTACCACTTTTCCCCTAGCCTTGAATCACTGACTAAGAAATGAGCGAACAAAATGTTTATGATCCACCACGATATTTTTTAATGGCATATTGAAAATTTTTACATAAAACCGCGAAAAAACCTTATGTAGGATGAAGCGGTGAGGCAGAAAATAAAAGTGACATTTACTTAAGCTCCTTAGCATTGACTGGTCACCCAGATCTAATGGGAACAGTAAATGCTACGACAGTGACGATTTGCATCGATGACCCATCATATCTCCATAGGTGACAAAAATTAAGCACAAGATATTTTTACTTTATCATTGGTTTTTCAAGGCTGCATCGCTACTGGTCGGTTCAAATGCTGTTAGTATGGCGCCTTGACGCTTGTTAACGTCAAAGTCCATTGCAGCCGCTTTTTGATCCATCGCCGTCGGATTAATTGTTAGCTTGCAATTTTGATGCGATGACCTCGAGAACTGCCCTCGAAACTTACTTTAATAACATTAGATTTCTGCGGAAAACAGTTTTTGTTAAGGACAACGATGTTACATCTGCGTTTGCCGCTCTGAACAAGTAGGAGCCTATTTCAAAGTTGTATAAATTTGACTCATTTTTAGTTCCCTCATGTCTTTACGATTGTCTCACTTACTGTTAGCCAACCTTTGGGTGATTGGTAATGGGCGTGCAAATAGTCCTTTGAACAGTTGAATTGGTGTTTAAGTAGGTTTTCCCTCCCAATAGTAGGTTGCTTATGAGCAGCTGATAGTTTGGGGTTAGGTCTTTGCAAATTTGCACTTTGTTGCTGGGTGTCGCCACTTGGTTAGAATTTCGCTGCGTCTAGGTTGGTGCCGGTGGGTTTACATTGGTTCCGCTAACAATCAGACAAATTTACATTTGTATTAGTGTATTAGGACAAGCTTGGTATTTAGTTCCCAGTTTAATCTGCGCAGCTCATTTGCTTCTGTGTACTCCACATTCTATGCCTATTTTATGCACAACACTAGGGCATATTAGTCAAATAGTGATCTAACATTGGTTTTCTGGCAGTCGGTCGAAGGAAGTCCTTTTATTTATTAAAACAGGGTTTAAGAAGTATTTATAGAGTGGTAGATGCGCTTGGCAGCATTTTTTTATCGGTTAATTAGGCGAGCAAGACCAGTTGGAATGCATGTTCGAGTATCGCTCCTTTCCCTTACTAACTTGTTTTTTGTTCTTCTAGAATTCTGCGAAACGATAAAGTAATTAATGTGATCAAGGCTCAAGAATATTATGAAAAGCCCACCAGAATGCGACGACGTGTGATGTACGAGCGATGTAAGCGTATTTACGACGCTGAAATGTCTCGTAAGATCAACTTTGTGATGAAGGTAGACAGACCTGACCCGTGGCTCCGGTAGAAGTTCGCCTTTTTCTTTCCTCTCCCTTACTCTGTAGCATATTAACATTTCATACTTTTATTAAATAGGTCCGCACTTTGGTACCCAAATTTTATTACTGCGTATTGCTGCAGGAAGGTATTTGCTACTTGCGCGACTTCAGTACACGGTTTTGTTTAGTCGAGTCGCCTTCCGTTGCTCAGTTTGGGAGTGAGTCGAAAAATCCAACAGCGGTCAAAAGTCTGTTGTTTCCTTAGACCGGTTTTGGTAAAGCGAATAAACACGTTAAATATTAGGTGTGAATGTCGCACATTGTTCAGTTTCTTAATCTGAAACATCAGTATTTGGTGGCTTTTGACGTCTTTGTGTTCACTACACTAAGGAGATTCTTGCGCTGAGTGGTTACGAGGCATATGGTTGGAGCGGAGGAAGTGTATCTTTCTTTTTTTTGGGAAGGTTTAAAGGAATGTTGGGCGAATCAATAGCTCTGCCCACTGCATCTACCTGCTTTTTTCCTCCTGTACGAAACGAGAATCATGTTGAAGGCGTGTTAATAAATTATTCCTTTCATTCCGAACATACTTATAAAGGCTGTGTAGAGGTCATCAAAACAGCCTCAAGCTTTACTGGAATAGGGGTTGAGGGGGAAGGTTGTAAGGCCGGTGTGATCCTCAGGAGGACGGTTGTAACATTAAGGGCGAAATTCTCAGTATCATTTTAAGTGGGATTTGTTGATTGTAGTTGCAGGAGCATCGCCTGATCGCACAATGAGGACCAAGGGTGCCAAAAAGATGCTAATTTTTTGTCACTTGACTCTTCCCTGCGCTTTACCAGTTCCATCTTGGTGTCAAATCAATGTAGTTGGCAGGAAATTCTGAGGCATCTGATACAAATTTTTACTTGAATTAATACGGTGGAGTCGTACAGTACCATCCCCAGCACCAAAAGCACCTCAGCACTGTCATTGTTAGTCTAATGAAGTAGGGGCTGTGATTTAAAAAGAAGGAAAGGCGACGTCATTTCGAGACTTGATTAGTTTTTGTATGCGTATACCTAATCAAATAGGCGACGTTTTTGCAGCCATTTTTTTGCAATTTGCAACAAACCTTCCTCCAAGCGTGTGTGGGTGTGAATGTAGCTGGTAGGCGCTTTCTGTTGCAAGCTCAACCGCTGAAAAGGGGAAATAAAGGGGCTGGTTCTTCTCAAAAATGCATTGACTTACAATTTCTAGGTGTCTTCTAGACCAGAAATATCTTCCAGAAATATCTTCACTTCGCCTTCCTTATAGCGCGATCCGTAAGCTGCGACTGATTTACCAAGTCGTATAAGGACTAGGGGACCCGTTTTAGCTACTGAATTAGGTGGTCATCTAGCGTTACAGAGGTGTATAAATGGTGCTAAACAAACCCTTTTCACAGCAAGGTGTGAGGTAATCATTCGCACAGCTGCACTAATCTTGTGATTATCCTCTGATACAGTCAATTTAAGGTGAAAATCAGGAACGAAATTTGAAGTGTTGACAGCTCGTGCCTTCAGAAATGGCATTATCAGCAGATGAACATTAATGCTTAAATCAAGTAAAGTTTTTATTGTACTTGCTTGAAAGTTTATAGACGAGAATATTCTACCCATGTTTTCACGAATATTCTTAGCAGGAATATGAAGCTTTATTTCGGATACTGAAAATTTTCTGACTCTGTTTCGTTCGTCAAACAAATGACTGTCTCACTCTGTAGCCCTTTTTTCAATGAGACAGAAATCCGGAAATGTCGCCTGTTT